GTCGGATTTTTGCCGCTTGCTTGCTAAGATTTCATCTTCACCTTTTTCTTTAAGTCATGAAAAATCCAAGCGACATTTCGTGAAATATGGCCGTTTGAGGTCTAAATTTATAGCTTTTATGCTTTTTTCCAAATATGAAAGACATTTCACTAGCAGAATTAGAGCCCCCTCCCCCCCCCCCCCAATCCCCTGTGTCCCAAAAGTTTGTAAAGATGAACACAATCATATTTCTTGCTAGATTTTGCTTTAATTACTTAGAAACCATATACCTTAAAAATGATATTAAAAAATACATAGAACCTAGGAGCTTCCAGGGGCTTCGCCTCCTGGGTCCCCACCAGAGTTTACCCTGGATCCACTAGGGAGCTTAAGGTGGCCCCCATATCTTCGCTCGTTAGTCCCTCTTTTTAAGGATCTGCCACTGGAGTAGCAGTATTCCCTTCTGAAAGACATCAAATTTTAACACTTTTGACATAATTCCGACAAATTGACAAAACTACAGCTGGAGGACAATGTCACATGAAACAAACTGTTTAATCTCACAGACACCTTATCAATTTCTGTTAAACAATATTCTGAATGCTTATATTTGGAATCTGCATACGCCCTAACATTTTAATTAGCTTGAGTTATCTTTAATGAGTGAAATTGTCAGTGATTTTTTATTATTATTATTTTTCATAATCACCATCATTTTTCCGAAAAAAATATTTTTATTCCTGGTACACACAAGGGTATGCTTTTTCGGTTTAAGATATTACTGTAACGTCGGGTAACAACCCGATAAATATATCAATTCATTTTAAATTCTTCACGGGATTTCTTTTCTTTTGTTGGATAGGTTAATTAGGTAACTCGATCCCGTCCCCTGTGTTATAGGGTAGTGAAAACCCCATGAATTTCTAGATCTGATCAAACATTGAAAAACTCTGTTGATGATTAATATCAAATAAACACGAGGAAATGGCGTCATGTCAATCTTGTAGCACGTAACATAATTACAATGTTTTTTTTTTAAGTACGAGGGTTGATCCAGAGATAGTGTCACAGCTATAAAATCTTTGACATCAAAACTTTTTATTCAAATTCCTGTGTCTATTTTGACTTTTGCCGTAAAATTTCATTCGGATATATGCAATACTTGGAAAAAAAAAATTAAAATAAACACAAGATTGGGCCTCGTCTATCGCCGCATGTAGCGACGTCGTTATGACGTCACTTCGACATTCATTTTGAGTAACATAATTATACAATATTTACGCAAAAAGGAATGAATTATAGAGGAATCAGATTTGTTAGTTGGATTAAATTGACAAGGGGAAGTAAGCAGGATACACAGAATATACTGGAGTATTATTGGACTTTTTTCAACAATTTGCAATTTACAATTTGTCCTTTTCTTAGACTGACCATTGGACAACGGGTCACTTCAGAGAACCTACATGAGTGAAAATTCTCGAAAGGACTTTAAACAAATAAACAGAACAATCGTTATGCCATTATTTTGGCTTTTGTTCCACTCTTTGAGTGAAAATGTTTTATAGTATTCAATTACATTCTAAATCTCCTTGTACAAAAATGATATTTCATCTCACCCCAAAATCCAGACTCCAGCCCTACTAGGCGAAATAAAAATTATCATTTATTGATTAAGCTTTATATATGGAATTTCTTACTTACATACATAGCTTTCTAGCAAGTAAGTTAATTGTTTCCAAGATTACAAAAAACCAGCAGACCCATATCAAGAATTTTGAATTCATGACCTTTGGATCGAGCCCAATATTATGTTGACATCAGATCAATATTATGCCATATCCTAAAGTTATTCTTATCTGGCATTTACAGCAGAGGCGTATAACAGGCACGTAGTATCGGAGAAGGGGCAATTTTTTCCATCCATAACCTTTTACTGTCCAATATATGTTCATTGAAAGACTGCTCCCACCCTACTTTTTGTTGCAGTATAGTCAAATCAGGGTAATGTTGTAATAAATGAAATTTGGTTTTGAAAGAAGTTGGAACCTAACCCCCCCCCCCCCCCCTTAAAAAAAAATATGATTTTCGAATTTTTTTTTTTTTTTTTTTTTTTTAACATCATATCATTAAAATGCTCTTCTCTGGCAATTACAGCAGAGGAACTATCTGTATGATTATAACAGGCACATAGAATAGGGGGTGGAAGGGGGCTGCCCCCCCCCCCATTTTTTTTCCAAATATAAATTTTACAGTTGAAAATGTTCATTGAAAGACTGGTTGCACCTCCCACCCACGCCTACCCCCCTCCTCACTTTTGTTGCAGAATAGTGAAATCAGGGTAATGTAATGTATGAATAAAATTTGGTTATTATGAAAGAAGACACATGCACACAAAATAGGATTTTCGAGTTTTCCTTTTTTTATTTGCTTATCAAAGTTTTTAAGGTAATTTGTCAATTTTTTTCTGCCCCCCCCCCCCACTTCAAAAGCGATAATACGTGCCTGTATAAGGAACAGAAGATTCTCTAACAAAATTGTGACACTGTGTCCTTCATTAAGGAATTCAAACCCCAGTATATTCAGAACACAAGAAAATGGTAACCAGTTATCAGGCTGAGAGGGGAGGATACTCGTTCGCAGCCCCCCCCCCCTTTCCAGAATTCTAGCTAAGGCCCAGGGCATATTAATTTAGACAGAAAATTTATATTCTAAAGAGAATAATCAGATACTATTTGAAAATATAAAAACTACTTTTACCAAATACCTCAAAGAAAGATAATTATGAAATTTCAACACTCTCATATTTGAACATTACTAATATTCCTACCTGGATATCTCGATCTAATCTGAATTTTTTATTTTTTATTTTTTTTTTAAATTGTAATAGTAAAGGTTTTGAGCGAAATCCAGTATTTAAAGATATACACTTTATTTGTGATGCTTAGTGGGAATGATCGTAAGATGCGCCTGAAATAAATTAATTATGTCACAAGTGAAGAAAATAAATCAAACTTTCTATAATTTTATTCTTTGCTACATTCAGCTAATTACCGTTAATAAAAGAATGTAAGCATACTTTCAGTTAAAAATAAAAAACAACAAATACATGTATTTTGTCTAAAAATTAGAACATATTATTTTCACTGAGTTAATATACATCAACATGATTGTATAGAAAAAGGCGTATATGTTTGTCAGAGATATAAAATTAATGTCTCTGATATTTGTGTATGACAATGTGATACAAAATCTCTCTCTCTCTCTCTCTCTCTCTCTCTCTCTCTCTCTCTCTCTCTCTCTCTCACCTATATTCTCACATATATTCACTCCATAAGGAGTAAAGTAAATTTTAGTTGATCAATAGATTATTTATTTCCCAGAATAAACAACGCAGTGAAGTAACTTGTAAGGTACAGTACACATTTTACTAGATGGTAAAGAAAATAATCAAAATATCAAAGAATATATTTATTTAATTTTCAATGTTTTGGTTAACCCCTCGGGGTCCAGCGGGAGACTTTAGTAGATCTTTGATATTTTTATTTTTTGTCATCTCCCTCGGGAGATGACACATTAAGTTTGAATCACTGGAAGTAAAGTCCTAGTGTAAGCTGCCATTGATAAGCTGGTGGTCTGGCAAAGGAACTGACGATGACACGTTTCTAAATATAGAGATGTAAACAAAATAATGAAAATTGACCAAAGTCTGTCTTATTATTATTTAAACAAAATGGTCCATCTTAAAGTTAAAGTAAAACTACACCAGGGTTCATTAAGAGTAATAGAGGTAGGATCACTTGGGTGTTAAAGCTATATATGGCGTATCTGAGCTAAAAAATAAAAATACGAGATTGGATGTAGCTAAACATGATATATGTTATTTACGTTGAAATTAAATTTTTCACCGATTTTGAACTTGAATAACCTCATGTTTCCATAGTTCGACTGATTTTAAAAAAAAATTAAAACTGTGTCTGTTAATTAAAATCGGAATCGGTAAATAAATCGGTTATTGTTTTAAATTTCTAATATCTTTGAAACGTGATTGATTTAAATTGTGAAATTTACAGGAAAGTCCTATTTTTATATAAAGTAATAAGACAAATAGAAAGATCTTTTTAATTTAGGTAGTCTGAACTTATAAAAAAAACAACGCAATATTTGACTTTTATTAATTCTTACGAATTTTCAGTGGTTAGATTTTTTTACAGACATTATACAAAATATATTTAAACTGAATAAAGCATATTTACAACAGCTAAAATAATACAGGCACATAGCACCAGGAGGGCCGTCCCCTTCCACTTTTTCCCCAAACATTGAAAAGGCGCACCCTTGACCCCTTTTCCACCTTTTGTTGCAGTATGGTACGTCAAATCATCCCATAAGAATGTATTATAATATAAAATATGTTTGTCGGAAAAGTTGTAATCCCTCCTTCCAAGAAATGAAAATGTTGAGTTTGGGTAGCCCCTTTTTTCCCCTTGTCAAAGATTGTTCAGATAAATCGTCGATTTTTTTTTTCTGTCCTCCCCCCCCCCCCATTTTTTCAAAAGCGATACTACTGCCTGTAATAGCTGAGAAAATAATATATCATTCCACTGTTTATTCTGTGACATTAATGAAGCCAAAGAGATGACATTTCAGGCTTTCTGGAAAGCCAAACTTGTCATATCTATATATATGCATGCAATGTGCCCGGGCTCGACATCTGTATATCCTAACCGGAAGTAATAAAGGTAAGCGCGTAATTTTGAAAGAAGAGTGCGAAGACGTACTAACTATGTGAATTATAGACTGCCTCAGGTCTGTTGACACTAAAGTTTGGTTAATGTTGGCTTTTCTGTTCAAATCTGTTCATAAATCGTACACTTGTGAAAATGCCCAATTAAACTAAGAGGCAGCTAGGTTACCCACACAGTCGCTTGTTTCGTATACCAGTTTACTACTGTTATGAAACAAGCGCCTGTGGTTTTACCAAATATTCGCACTGATTAATACAATTTTTATTCTAGCATTTCAGATTAATTGATACATCATGGAAAAGAGAGAGGAATTACTTGGTATTTCATCTAGAAATGCCTCCAAAGAATTGCTTACATTTGTTTCTCAGGTAGGTGTGTGTAGCAATGTTATGAAAAGATAGAATTTTCTGTTGCGATTCATTAAATCATCATTTATTGAAAAAGCGTTATATCTTAGAACTTCTTATGATTTATTGTATTACAGACCAGGTCGAAAAAATACTTAAGCATTGGAGTAATAAAAGTTGTTTAAATTTCCCCTATCTAAAGCAGCAGTATTTCATATAATTCACCATGTTCATACTTAAAATTCAGTAAAACTGCACTATAAGTATTGCTTAGTAAGTCTTTCCTTGTAACAAGATATATATTTTTTTGATTTTCTACTAAATTTACGGGCTGTAGCTTGTGCAGACAATATGAGTTCATATTATTGTCTCTGTACCAAATGGGGCCTGGGAAGAAGCTGCCCCATGCTCCGTATGCACTTGTATGTATACTGCTGAAAAATGGTGTATTGAAATAATGTCATGCTATGTGGAACGCCAAGCAAATACTTTGCAAAATGCTTGCACACAATTTTCTAGTTTGCAGTCTTCCTTATCGGTAATGATCAGTAATGATATCTTCATCAAATTTATCGTCTGAGATGTATGGAATGATAAAATTGGAAATTCAGCATATATTGACATTTTGCTGTCAAGGAAACAGAAATGTTTCCTTTCATGTGGTTTATAAGTCTCAAGTTGTTTTCGGTAAAAGAGGCATATGACAGACATATTTGATGGGTTAAATTTATAAATTTAATACAAGAGAAATGCAGGGTTGTCCCTAAGACCCGGGGGTCGGGGAATTTCCCCACCTATTATGACGTAATCCCCAAGTTATTCTGGTACTTCCCCTCAACCCTCTTTTAGGGGAGGAGCCCCAGAAACCCTTCTACTTTCATAATGCCCCCTGCTATTTCAGTTCCTAGGGACAACCCTGGAAATATGACAGACATATTTGATAGATAATACATGTACTATAATTTTAGCACAAGAGGAATGTGACAGATATTTTTGATGTGTAATACATGTACTATAATTTTAGCACAAGAGGAATGTGACAGATATTTTTGATGTGTAATACATGTACTATAATTTTAGCACAAGAGGAATGTGACAGATATTTTTGATGTGTAATACATGTACTATAATTTTAGCACAAGAGGAATGTGACAGATATTTTTGATGTGTAATACATGTACTATAATTTTAGCACAAGAGGAACGTGACAGATATTTTTGATGTGTAATACGTGTACTATAATTTTAGCACAAGAGGAACGTGACAGATATTTTTGATGGGTTGACGAAGAAACAGACAGAGGAGTTATGGACCGGCCTGAATCAAATGTGTGCTACAACCCTCCTGACCCTTGACCTCGCTCAAGATGACCGCCTGGAAGGGGTAAGTGTCACGTGAAAAAAATTGTGCTCTTCACACCTTTTGAGACTCTGTTACTTTTTGATGCCTACTTCAAACTGTGAAAATCAAAAATACATCATGTACATGATTTCAAATTTTAGAAATGTATTGATTTAATAAATTTATTTTGGTATCTGAATAATTTTGCTCTTCAATTTTATTTTGTGTCCTATCTTGTACATATTCACTATGATGGTTTTTTTTTCTTTTTGTCTTTGTTATAAGTTTGTATCACATATATTATTTTTATTACATTGAAGAATGAAGCTACTGCAGTTCAAGTTGTTTTATTTCTCATGCTAAATGGATAAAATTGCTTTATGTTCAACTAGATAGTAATGTTGTTTTATTAAGCAGGAAAAAATGGATAAGCTAAAACATAAAGCTTTATATTTATATAGGAGATGCAGGTTGTCTTGGAGACAATGGATTGTTTTGTTCTGCTGGCTCATACTACAATAAAACAGGCCTCACCACACATAAACCCAGATCTGATGTCAACAGCCTGTGTATTACACGGTAAGTAAACCACACATAAACCTAGATCTGATGTCAACAGCCTGTGTATTACACGGTAAGTAAACCTTACCACACATAACACCAGATCTGATGTCAACAACCCGTGTATTACATGGTAAGTAAACCTTACCACACATAACACCAGATCTGATGTCAACAGCCTGTGTATTACATGGTAAGTAAACCACACATAACACCAGATCTGATGTCAACAGCCTGTGTATTACACGGTAAGTAAACCTTACCACACATAACACCAGATCTGATGTCAACAGCCTGTGTATTACACGGTAAGTAAACCACACATAACACCAGATCTGATGTCAACAGCCTGTGTATTACACGGTAAGTAAACCACACATAACACCAGATCTGATGTCAACAGCCTGTGTATTACACGGTAAGTAAACCACACATAACACCAGATCTGATGTCAACAGCCTGTGTATTACACGGTAAGTAAACCTCACCACACAAAGCACCAGATCTGATGTCAACAACCTGTGTATTACACGGTAAGTAAACCTTACCACATATAACACCAGATCTGATGTCAACAGCCTGTGTATTACACAGTAAGTAAACCTTACCACACATAACACTAGATCTGATGTCAACAGCCTGTGTATTACACGGTAGGTAAACCACACATAACACCAGATCTGATGTCAACAGCCTGTTTATTACACGGTAAGTAAACCTCACCACACAAAGCACCAGATCTGATGTCAACAGCCTGTGTATTACATGGTAAGTTAATCTCACCACACAAAGCACCAGATCTGATGTCAACAGCCTGTGTATTACATGGTAAGTAAACCTTACCACACATAACACCAGATCTGATGTCAACAGCCTGTGTATTACACGGTAAGTAAACCTTACCACACATAACACCAGATCTGATGTCAACAGCCTGTGTATTACATGGTAAGTAAACCACACATAACACCAGATCTGATGTCAACAGCCTGTGTATTACACGGTAAGTAAACCACACATAACACCAGATCTGATGTCAACAGCCTGTGTATTACACGGTTAGTAAACCACACATAACACCAGACCTGATGTCAACAGCCTGTGTATTACACGGTAAGTAAACCACACATAACACCAGATCTGATGTCAACAGCCTGTGTATTACACGGTAAGTAAACCTTACCACATATAATACCAGATCTGATGTCTACAGCCTGTGTATTACACGGTAAGTAAACCACACATAACACCAGATCTGATGTCAACAGCCTGTGTATTACACGGTAAGTTAACCTCAGCACACAAAGCACCAGATCTGATGTCAACAGCCTGTGTATTGCATGGTAAGTGGACCTCATCTATATTCACCATATTTCGTCTTAGCAGCCTGTTTATTACACTGAAAAATTTGCAGAATTGATAGGCTACAAAAATCTAATCAAGGCTACCAGATGTTCAAAAGAAAATGTGCTTAATTTATTGAAATGGAAAGATATAAGAAGACTTTAAAGATTACTGTTTGTGATGAGTTGTATGTATGTTTAACAGAGCTTCTCCTACACATGCCGGACACAGCTGATCGACTGAAGAACAACACAGCAGGGCTGTTTGAGGAATGGTGGAGACTGGGGCTAGAGGGGAGGTTTGACCTGGTCACAAACACCATCATCTACCTCCTACAGAGGAGTCTCTCCACTAAAGGGGTAATGTCCACTTAACAGTCACAAACAAAGGGGTAACGTCCACTTAACAGTCACAAACAAAGGAGTAATGTCCACTTAACAGTCACAAACAAAGGGGTAATGTCCACTTAGCAGTCACAAACAAAGGGGTAATGTCCACTTAACAATCACAAACAAAGGGGTAATGTCCACTTAACAGTCACAAACACTATCATGTACCTCCTACAGAGGAGTCTCTCCACCAAAGGAATTATCTTAACAGACAAGTCTTAAAAATATAAGGAATTAATAAATTTCAATAAAAGGTCAAAATGGATAAAATCCTACGGAGTCCTTCACCTTTGTCATTAAGTCCTACAAAGTTGTAAAAGGTGTCAATTTCATTGATACTCAACTGGGAATAATTTGATAGTTTGTTGAGTGTGGGTCTGTGCTCTAATAGTGTGAAACATGTGAATTTGATATTATCTCCCTTATAGAATGCAGCCAGTGTCAGGAGAGTGTGGGCCCTGCACTCGGCCCTAGAGATGGTGGATATGTCCAACGAAAGTAGCTCCATGTTCTTTGACCTCCTTCAACAGGTCATTGTTAACAGCAATTACCTAGGAACAGAGGAGGTACATAATACAAGCTTTTGTTTCATATGGATTTCAATGTGTGTGAATAATTTTATTGTGTTTTTAATATTTTGAAAAACTTCCTGAAGTTAGATGTATGTTTATTGCAAAGCTTCATTGATTCATATATATACATGTACATGTAGAATAATTCATTGAGACTTCCCCAGTTTCCAGTATTAACTGTTTTATATTTTAGGGATGTCAATCTTCCAGTATTAATTGTTTTCTGTTGTAGGGATGTCGGTTTTTGGGATTCATTATGACACTAGATGTCACTTTGACAGACTGTCTCCATAGGTGTATCAAAAACCACATTCCCACTGCTCCAAGGTAAATTTAAAAAAAAAGATCACATGTAAATATTTGTGGAAAACAACAAACGTGTATTTTTCTCTTTGGGATAACCAAATTCCTACTGCTCCCCGCTAAAAGTAAGAAAAATCTCAATTCATACTATTCCTAAATAAGGGTACAGGAATATTATCCTCCTTGTTATGTGGACCTTGGAGATGTCTTTTCTGTGCTGTTTATATCAGTGCTGTCATTTTGTAGTTCCTGGCTGGAGAAGTTTGGTGAAGTGTATTTCAGAGCCTGGTCAGCAGAATCCAACCTGACAGAGGTAACTGAAGGAGAATGATTTCATTGAATGCAGCCTTCTTAAGCTAAAAATATACAAAGTATTAAAGCACTGATTCTTTATGTCAGGTTTAATATTTGTAAATGCTTTCCAGTTTACATGTAGGAATGTATAGCATAATGTATGAAGCATGAATTCAACAAAAAATCTAATATCTTAATTTGATGATTTTACCAACAGAAGCTTGAGATGGACTGTATACAAGATCTGATGAATCATGCTGTACACGCTCAGAAATCACTGTCACCAGCCATCAGAAAGGTCAGCGAAAGACATTATATGTACCTATATGTATTACAATGTACCTGTTATTTCTACTGGTGTCCAGGTCTATATAAAAGTGAAAAATTTGTAATATTTCCAGATAAATAGCACTGATTATAAATCATGAAAAATAAAATGAGAATTATGCTATCTGAAAAAAAAATAAAGTAACAAAAAATCTTTAAAATTTTAAAATATGTGCACATTTATTATGTAAATAAATGTCTAAAACTTCTCAAAGTAAAACTTTTTGCTTTAAAATCAGTTTGTTATGCTCTCTGCTAGACTCCTAGTATAAAAGATGCTGAATAAAAAGAGAACCTGACCCCCCAGTATATGAGGTTTTCATTTTATACAGGTGTTAACATACATCCATCAGCAGAAAAAGAAGAATGGAGTGGATGCCATGTTGCTGAATCTTTATGAACCTTTTCTGTGGAGATCCCTCAAGGTACATTGTATAAGTCCATATACATCTACATTGTGGGGACACAAGGACTTTCCATTGCATTTGAGTTACTGTTTCTTTTTCAGTGTTCATTCAATTGCATTTTCAAACCTAAAAATTCAGATTTTGTTTGATTTGTTTACTTTATAAAAAGAAATATAGCTCCTCCTTTTGATTTCTATGTATTGGCGTTATTATTTTGTCTAGGTCGCTAATCCAGAAGTTCGAGGTAATGCTGCCTGGCTTTTAGTGGATGCGTTTCCTCTTCTTGATCCAGACTTCAACTCGGAGGAAAAGGACATACTTCTCCAGAAACAGTTTGATCTCTTACTGGTAAACACAGGACAGACATGACAGATTAGACTGCATGTTGTGATGTTTTAATCTGTAACATTCTTATCCCCCCTGAACTCAATTAACTATTCATATTGAAATATTGTATAAGTGGAATTTTTAGCGAGAGGCAAATTTAGTGATTTTTCCTAAAAAATTGTCATATTATTTTAGCGAGAAGTAACTTTAACGATTTATATTTATAATGATTATGATAACCTTCACTGTGGAAATGAATTATTAGTGATAGTCAATTTTAGTACAAATATCATTTATATATATATATATATATATATATATATATATATATATATATATATATATATATATATATATATATACTCAGTATATATATATATATATATATATATATATATATATATATATATATATATATATATATATATATATATATATATATACATATATATATATATATATATATATATATATATATATATATATATATATATATATATATATATATATATATATATATACAAAATTGAGAATTCCAGGTTTAACTCTATTACATGTACATGTAGCTAATCACAGTGAAATCTTTTTAAGTCTATCGGAAAATATACAAGATTGGGAATTCCAGATTTCTTGTACAGGTCTTAAGATTGAGTCAGGATGACTTTTTACACTACTATGTTGTTGATACAGATGTTACTAGAGGACCCCATCCCTGCTATCAGGAGTCAGACCGTACTGGGTGTGTTTAGGATCATGTCTCTGTTCTGGGAGCTGATGCCATCCGTTACCATTAAAAACATCATTACCAAGGTGATCCAGGACCTGGCTTTTGATTCGACATCTGCTGATGTCAGAGAGAGTGTCATAAAGGTCAGAGGTTAAATATTTTGCTGTTTAACATTCTGTTGTATTTGGACAAAGTTTCTCCTGCTACTGAGGCAGAAGGAATAAAGCAGTTTTATAAAAACATGCAGCCTTAGAGTTGTGGAATGACCACTCTGTATTTTAGAACTGAATGAAACTTCTCAGTTCATGTAGATGTACATTTTTTTTATTTTGAAAATTGCAATTCTTATAGTCTTTTTTGCTTTTTTTTTTTTTTTATTGATAAAGTCTTTACTATTTTGAAAATTGCAATTATTATAGTCTTTTTTGCTTTTTTTTTTTTTTATTGATAAAGTCTTTACTATTTTGAAAATTGCAATTATTATAGTCTTTTTTGCTTTTTTTTTTTTTTTATTGATAAAGTCTTTACTATTTTGAAAATTGCAATTCTTATAGTCTTTTTTTATTGTTGTTTTTTTATTGATAAAGTTTTTAATTTAGAAAAGTTAAAGAATATAACTATTTTGAACTTTACTAATGCTCTTGATAAACCATGAAATGTTTTAAATAGGATATGCTTGGCAGGTTTTAATATGCAATTGTATTCTCTTGTCCATATGCCACTCCAGGGCCTGACCAATCTAGTGGATAATCACCTCTGTCATCTGATGCTGAAACCAATTCTCCCCCAGCTACAGAATCACATACATGATACATCAGAGAAGGTCAGGGTTGCCATGGTGAACCTCATGCTGAAGGTCAAAGGGGTCAGAACCATCAAGGTCAGTCAGAGAGAATGGTAAACATTTTTATTGAAAAACCTGAATTGCTTGAAAAGAACCACTTTTAAATTTAATAAAAAAAAACAAACATCTCTTTTTTTTGTGTAAGAATAATTTCCCTTTTGCAGTCAAACTAATGTAAAAGAATATGTATACCAATTTTAAAAAAAAAATATATATATATATAAACAAAAAATCTTAATGCAAAATTATACAATTCAGCATAATTTTTATGTAGTAAACTAATTTATTCCATTCTTAAAGAGTTTTAACTGAAATTAGATATGTACTTAATGTTTAAATCTATAAAGACATTTCTTAAGATTTTTTGTTAAGATTCATTAGAGATGTATATGCCAGTAATGATTTTATGAGACAAGGCTGTATATTGTTACATTAGCAGTATTTTATTGACAGTTTTGGGAGGTGGTACCTGTGGAGCACCTGTTGGCCCGTCTAGAGATAGACTCTGCCCCCGTGGTCCGTCGTTTGATGACGCTTCTCTTCCCGAGTTTCCTCCCCTTGGACAAGAGTGAGCAGGAGCAGATCCCTCGATGTGTGGCCCTCATACAGACCAACCCCGGGGCAGCCAGGGTGTTCTACCGTAACGCTCAATACTTCATGGATGTCCAACAAACAGGTAGCTTGAGAGAATGGAGTTAATTATGTAAAACAGTTGATTTTCAGTGTCTGGAACATTGATATCTTAAATACCATAGATATGTTAAAGTCAAGTGGAAGTCCTAACCGCATTTCTTCATGCTTTTTACCATCACTGTCTCCAATCCTTGGATTTCTCTGTTTTTATTAGCCCTATCATGTATGAAACAATGAAGTTTGTATATGTTAAGATTGATATGTCATGGTTCATTCATGATCATGATAGAAAGTATATTTTGGTATTTCCTGGTGTAATATTCTGAATTGTGTTTCTTTTAAAAGAAAAAGATCCTAAAGTATTAAAGTTATTTGAACCAAATTGTTGATTACATCTAATTGATTTATGATACATTCTGGTCTTAAAAACAACACAGACTTAATAACTGAAACCTTGGCACATGTCAATGGATCCAGTGACTCAGAATAGCTTCTGATACTGGGGCCAATTCTAAACCATACCTGTCCCTAAATTTCGTTGCCATATTTGTTTAAATAATGTCATCTGCCTTTACAAAGACCACATTCATTTGCTTTTCCCAGAGTAACATTTATCATTTCCTTCTTATCCAAGTAATAGAGCAAAAATAGTCAAGAGTACTGTATTGCACTTTTTGAAATCTCTGTGTCTGATGCTAAAAGTTTGACTCTGTTGATTGTCAATATCTAATTTGACTGTAATTTTTACAGCTTCCTACATGATCACACTGTGTAGAAAGATTTTGGAGTGTATCCGAGAGGAAAGACGAAGAAATGAGGCAGCAGACAACTCACTGAGTGACGCTCAAAACAGTGAGGAGGTAGGAAATGACTCGATAGACAACTGAGTGACGCTCAAAACAATGAGAAAGTAAGAAATGTCTCAAAAAGACAACTCACTAAGTGACGCTCTGAGTGACACTAGAAGCAGTGAGGAAATAAAGAAATTACTCAATAGACAACTCACTGAGAGACACTTTGAGTAACACTCAAAACAGTTAGGAAGCAAAGAAATTACTCAATAGACAACTTGCTGAGTGACGCTCAGAATATTGAGGAGGTAAAATATGATTCAACTGGACAAATGCTATCTCCTTGAATGTCATTGTTACTGTATCTCTGTATTGACAGGAGGAGGATTTGACGGTTCACAACACGGCGGTGATGAAGGGACTGATTGAAGTCATTGTCATCTTGTGGTACAACATCTCATCCCGCCTACAGGAAGTAAGTAATACGTGTGTGTAATGGATGTCAGAAAATGAGGTCCTGTTAGAGGGGATCTTATTTATTCTAATGCGTTAAGTATTATTTACAAGATAGACTGCTTGAAGTCATTTTTCTTTTTTCAGGATTTAATGATATTCTTTCATGGAAAATGTCATATTTTTAAAACATGTACATTTATTTCATATTTTAAAATCATTCATTTTGATGATTTGCAAAAAGAATGATGAATTAAAAAGCACTAATCTGACTAGCAAGCTATGGTATTTTGTTTAGAGTAAACATAAGAAAATAGAACAAGATCTTCAGCAGAAATTTTGCCTGGCTGTTCCAGAGATGTTGAAAACCTTTGAGGTAACCACTAAATCACTAGAGGGTTTCTTATGAATTTTAATGGTTTTCTTGAATTTTTGTTAGACCAGATACCTGGGTAATAATAAATCATTGACCAATCGAATGTATGCTGTATTTAAATATTTTTGTTAAATTCCAGGACCCTGAGATCTCATTGGCTGTTATTTTGTTAGCAGGTCATCTGCCCTCTAGTTCTGTGCCACTTCTGAGGTGAGTATGAATATCTGTCATATTTTTCAACAAGTTCTCAGCTCATTCTGAGATGACTGAAAATCCGACAATTGATAGTTATTTCCTTATTCTGAGATAATTCTAAACATGCTAAAAATCAATCAAATGAGAGCAGTTCTAGAGATGTTACATGATATGTATTCTTTAAAAAAAAAAAAAAATAACCTTCAGATTAAGTCATCTTGGAGTCACATGAATATTTTTGGTTTTTAATTCAAGTTAAAAATTATTGTAGAGAAAGGACATAAGCTTAACTTCTAAAATTTGTTATCAAATGCTGAAGAGAAATAAAATATGTATGAACACACATGTACATGTATGACTGAGGAAAATGGAAAGACTCTACATTTGAATGTAGGGATTGAAAATGTAGGGATTGAAAATTTTCAAAATTTTAAAGGAGATGGGCGAACATAGTGTGCAGAAAGCCTATAGCTTCAGATATATAAAAATCATGTTCAGTTTGTGAATTTAGTATTTAGAGTAAAGTTCTCATTATTCAAATTCATGAAATTATGATAAACAAAACTTTTCTGAGGAAAATTTTCTCAGCAAAATTTATTCTTTTATTTAAAAAATTAATGTGGTATTCGTGGGTTCGAACCCTAGCAATAAAAATCCTGAGTATTATTTTCTTTCGAGACTAGCACGCTAACCACTAGACTACACAAGTCCCGATGAATAGTGGCATTTAAATCATGTTTGTGATATGACCCTTGACTTAATGAACTTCAAGTATTTCTCAAAAAGATGCGAATGTTATGTCATAAAAGTATATTTTTAAGGTATAGTGGGTCATTGCTCCATATTTTTGGTAACCAAAAATTGTATATTTTTATGCAAACTTTGAGGATTAACTTTCAAAAAGGTGGAGCGAAGACCCACTCATATCGAAAAATAGTATTATAGTATGTGAAAATTACTCTTTTTGCCCGCATTAGTGTGCGTCTAATATTTCGCAGGCAAATAATTTCAATCTTTGAGGGATTTTTGCAAATTATAGAGATTTTAATTAAAGTATAATTTAATGTTAGACGAAATATCAAGGAAAATTTTGATATAATTGAAATTTAATTTTTCATCTTCATGTTTGTCACACTATAGGCTTATCGCTCGTCATGTTCACCCATCTCCTTTATAAGAAATGAAATAGGAATATACATGTAATTTACCAACTAACATAAATTTGCTGCTTCAAACAAAGTAAATTATAATTATAACAGACAATGAGTGATATATATGAAGTTCTCATTCACCGTTACACCTGTTTTACAGCCGTAGCTGTTTGTCGAAGCTGAAGAAGATGACGTCGGACACGGAGGAGGCCCACTATGGCTGTTTACTGGAGGCCAAGTGTAAGTGGAACAAACTGGAGGATCTAATGGAACTAATCCAGGAGTGGATCTCATCTGGTTTCAGGGGTGGAAAAAAGGAAAGCTCAGCAAAGGTCAGTGACCGTGTTCCATATGAAATTAACAACACTTTATGCATATACTGAAACTTCAAAATTGGTCATTTCAAGATATTGGCTTCTTAACTCTTATTTAGAGATGTTGGTTTTTAATAATACCACAAACAATTTTTTTTTCTCAAATATCTTTGCTTAAACAGGCACCTCTCTCACTAAAGAAATGATATCTGTTAAGTTAAACAACTTTATGTTTGGCATAGCCACATCATTAGGTGAAAAGTGTGAAAATTTAACTTTAAAGTTCAATATAATTTTTGGAAAGTTTTAGAAATATATGAAGTTTTGTTACTGCCAAGTTCCTGAGAACATTTCGAGGATTATTTTTACAATTTACACAGCTAAAATTTCCTAATTAGATTTTCATTCAAAGAAATATTGCAAAAAATAGTACTGTAACTCTGTGTGGGAGATAAGAAAATTTGTTTGTGGTATGTATCTTTAAAGGTTGTATAGAAATAAATTGTTTGTTGTTTCTTGAATCTTTGGGTTTATTGAGAGCATAAGTCTCAACAGTGCATGCTACATGTATTTCCCTCTAATATGGTACGTCAAAATTGAATCGTAATCTCGTCTGAATAAACTAATGATGTCATGGTAATTTTCTTTTCCCAAACCAAGGCAACTGGAATACACATTGTGTAGGGCTTGAGTAATTAATTATTAAGCTAATCTAAGTTAAATATTTTGGCGTTACAGAAAGGTAAAGACAAGAGGAAGTCGGTGACGTTTGCTGAGGAGGGGAATCAGTTTGGACCAGTTCTTGCCATTCGATATCTGTCATATCTCATCACACATCCAATATGTCGGGCGGCCATTATGACACACCACACCGAGGGTCTACATCAAGTACAACAACTCCTACATCAATCTCTGGTAAGGGCATACATGCAGGCTATTTTATATGTCCGTGTACAATGATGTGCCCTATGTAATGAAATGTTATTTTCCTCTGTGTGTGTGTGTGTGTATGTGTGCAAAGGCAAAAAAAAAATGTAGTCTTCATTATGTTCAATAAAGTATTTGCTGTTAAACCTACAAGTGTTTTTCAATAACAAAGTGTAAAGTGTAAAATTAATTTAAACATTCTTGAACAGATTGTCTTTTGAAACATGTACTGTAAACGTGGAAATTTTGACGACGTGCTAATTTTGACTATATTGACGATTTTTCTTTTGTCGTCAAAATTTCCACTCCTCAAACTTCATATCATATATATAGCATCACAACAGACATTGACCGTTGTACAACTTCACCACTTAATTTTCTCGGCTTCCCCCATTAAAACTAGATCAAAATTACTGTTTAATTTTTTGGTAAATAGTTATGAAAACATATAATCACAGTTTTAAAAACCATTGAGTATGTCATATACTATTATTACCCATGGTTATAACATTCTTACTTTGCGTAATTATCCTGCCGTGTTTGACCTACTTTGTCACCTCAGGCAATCGGTCTCGTATAATGAAAAGAAAGACTAGTACAAAAGAGCAATTAATTCAATCAAATCTTATACACTGTAGATGGTTTTTACAAGCAAAATTAATTTTTATTGATGAGAACGCTTGTAAATGAGTTCCCGAGGAAGTCGTGGTCTTGCTTATAACATCTTGAACTCGCACAGAGCGGCTTAATCGTAGACGTTCTCAAGTCAACTAAGCCAATGTTTCCATCAAGTTTTTGGTCCTCTAGCTTCTGGCGAACGTATTCTGAGTACTAGTTTTGAAACTGTTTTTTAGGAGTTCTTTGTATTCATTTTTGTTTTAATCTTGTGAAATCAAAGATATACATAACTCTTGATTCAATATTTCGTCAAAATTAACACTCGTCAATTTTCGTAAACAAAAAAATCGTCAATTTTTCAACTCGTCAAAATAACCACGTTTACAGTATATACATGTGATTAAACAGCTTTTGATGTTTGTCTAGAGTGAAAAATTACATATTATGCAACTTTTTACATGACTATACATTATACATGTAAATGAGCATTTCTTTCACATGTATTTCACTTTTGTACAAGTTTGCACATATAGGTTTATTTCATTCACTCCAAAAAGTTATCCCCTTGTATGTGCATATATTGAGAGTGATTCTGTGTACATAAAGTGTAGCTAGAAATGTACAGGACAGAACACAGACAGGTAATATAATGGAATCTCATTTGATTACCAACACAGATAAACTGTGTACAGAACTTGTATATGAAAGTGATGTACAGAATGGAATTAGACAAGTCACTGACTCTTAGTTGATTTTCACATCCATTAGTTGATTTTCACATCCATTGTTTCACAATGTCCATCTACTGCTGCCTGACAGGGTAATACATTGTATTTTGTGTGTTTATCAGGATCACCTACAGAACAGAATAGAAGGACAGGCCTGTGACAGATTACCAGAGGATCTACTGACTCAGTACTTCACCATGTACTTAAGACTTACGTTGATACTACACGATCAGGTACAGTCTACTATTCACATTTTCAGAGGTAATCATGTATGCTTGCCGGTACTTTTCTGTACTTTACTACAGAGTGAAAAATGTTTCTTTTAGAAGAAAACACATATTCAGGGCAACATCAGTTAAATTAGTTGAAGTAAACCAGTTAAAGTATGAATGAAGCATTTTTTGTGTTTTAATAGGAAAAATTAATGCATACTACTAACCTTAGGCAATTTGTGAAATTATTTTAAAATATAATCCAGTTTAAAAAAAACTTTCAATTGAGGATCATTTTCACATGTATGAAAAGAATACACCCTTATATTTCTTCATACAACTACTTACCAGATAGTAATCACTTTGATAAATGGCAAAAAAAAAAACATGTTACATGTATTTAACAGGAGGGATTTGATGATGTTTCCATTCTCAGTACTGTAATGGATTGGACTGAAGCAGAGATTCTACCTAAAGTAAACTCTTCTGAGACAGAAACAGAAAGTAGAGCTCACAGAAAACGCTCCGTCACATCAACTCACGCAAAACATACTCTCTGTACACAGGTTGTCAAGGTAAAAATCTGAATTTTCTCTGTACACAGGTTATAAAGGTAAAAGTCTGAATTCTCTCTGTACACAGGTTATAAAAGTAAAAGTCTGAATTCTCTCTGTACACAGGTTATAAAGGTTACAATTCTGAAGTCTTTTCAGCTTATACAGAAATCTACCTCAGAAAAATGATCATTAAGCAAATACATAGAGTCTGAGTATGTATAACTAGTGTATGATAATGCAGTATACATTGTGTCTCATATCAGATTGTAATAGACCTAGTGTACAAAATCATTTAATACACAGTGTACTTATAGTATAAAGGATGGTTATGCTGAATGTAGAATACAAATTCAATTACTTTTAGCTATATGTACTTTAAACAACACTGTACAAGATAATATGAACCTGTAAATATCAATAATTTTTATTTCATATTATCAATATGTTTTGACTTTTTCATGTAACTTAATTCAAATGCTTATTGTATAAAGTAGTTGCAAAAAAAAAATTAACAAAATTTATAGAAAATATTAGCACTGTTTAATGATTATTTCAATGATCTGTACTATTTCAGAATCTGTTGCAAGTATGCAGTAATAGCCTCCTGATTGGAATAGGGACTGCAGACTTTGTGCTGAAATTGTCCACCTTTTGTACTAAATGTCTATCTGCAGGTAAAGTTATATTGACACCAGTGTTTATTTTTACCACAAAATTTATGTCATGTCTAGTGAAAAGGAAAATAAAATAATTTGTTTTCCTTTCTTGTTGAGGTACCTGTAAATGATGGTTTAACATGTTTAATGACCTGACACCAGTTAGAGTGTGTGATCTCAAGTCATGAAGTATTGGGTTTTCAATAAGTGTAACATACTTTGCTCAGCACACATTTAAAAAGTCTTTTGTTTTTGGCCTCAAGAGTAAATACATAAAAAAATGTTACAGAATGCCCATTGCTGCCTTCTACGTTAATGTCAGATTTTGAGTATAAACAAATTGAAATTTGATAACAGTGAAACCTGTCTAATCTGACTTGCATCGGGAAACAGAATTTGAGTCAGAATAGACAGGGTGTCACTTAGCATAGTAAAGAACATAGAAAATGGGAAATTAAATAAGTGTGATGAGTGTCTGAAATCAAAGTGAAACAGATTGCACAGGTGTTGGATTAGACAGTTTTCACTGTATCAAGACTGAAATTGAAAATTCTTTTTACCTTATACTTCTTCAGTTTAAAAACATGGTATTCTGGTATTCTTTAGATATATACATGTATCTTTTATTCTCAGCTTTGGAAATAAAACTAGTGATTATGTTTACAGATGACAAATTTACCATGCTGAATGATGTCACTTCCTGTTTGTATCACATGACTGAGTTTCTTCTGAGTTTGGAGGAAGACCAAGATCAGAACACAATGGTTGTAGAACTACTGAGTAACACACTGAACTTGGTACAGACTCACTGTATAAGGAGCACAGACACTGGTAACAAGGTAACAAAACTCAAAATCAGTAGAACTACTGAGTAACACACTAAACTCAGTACAGACTCACTTTTTAAGGAACACAGACACTGCTATAAAAAACAAAGACACTGCTAACAAGGTAACGAAACTCAAAATCAGTAGAACTACTGAGTAACACACTGAACTCAGTACAGACTCACTGTTTAAGGAACACAGACACTGCTTTAAAGAACAAAGACACTGCTAACAAGGTAATGAAACTCAAAATCAGTAGAACTACTGAGTAACACACTGAACTCAGTACAGACTCACTGTATAAGGAACCCAGACAGTACTAAGGAGGTAATGAAACTCAAAATCATTCTTTCTCTACTAGTGCTTGAGTAAGATTTGTTTATGATGTAACAGATATGGTAATAAGAAGAGGTAAGTACAGTACAAGCTTATAGTTAAGTGCCAGCGACTAACGTATTTGATTCATTACAAATGTAATTTGTTATATCCAATCAGTTCACAATACATTTTAAAATAATTAGGATTGAAAATCACTGCTGTAAGCAAAAATTCGTGATAAGCATGTTCACTATAACCATGTTTTACTGTAAAGAGTATCTGTGTCATAGTTACATCTTTGTTTATTGTGATTTTGACATAATCTTATCAGTTACAAAAATATACAAGTACCTTTCGTATTTAGATATTTTCACAAACCCTTCTATCTTTTTCAGCTGATTAGCTGTGTTGCGTCCCCTGTCACTGAGACTATTAATGCTGTCTACAGTAGAAGTGGACATCAGACATTACAACAAAGTCTTACTTCATCTCTCATAACAACAGTCATGGACGAGATGACCCTGTATAGTGTCAAGGTCAGGTCAAAGCTGGTAGTCATTATTGAAATCTTTCTTAATTAAGTACATTTGGCTCTAATCACTGTACCATGCAGGAAACAATAAATTAATATGCTTACATACAGTTAAACCCGCTTACAAGGAACTGGGATATAAGGAAATCTTGGTTATAATGACGTTATACCTCTTACCCATTCCTCAGATTGTAACACTTTCTTATATCCATATAAAGAAATTTGGTTTCTTGTAGATCAACAAATTTTTGGGACACCTTATTTTTGTAAGATAGTGAGACAAAATTTTTATGAATTTTTGACTATTTCATTTAATTTTTTATAATAAAAATATAAGCGAGAATTAAATTTTCACAACAGCCTCATAATTACACAAAAAATAAAGTTTTCACAAATAAAAAGTGATTTACAGTATAGCAAACTAATATTCATGTTCCAAGTACTTCATTGTAAGCAAATCTGATAAATTAATGGCTTATTCCTGAGTTTTGTTTAGATCCTTGACTGTTTTTATAACATAGAAAGAAAATGTTATCTTATCAAATTGAAATGTTAATACAAGGAGAGTTAAGAGAGTTATTTTCTACACAACACAGGAATTGATGGACTCCCCAGGAGAAAGTTTGGACACCCTGCCTCCTGTATCGTCTATGTTGACAGGGATCCTCAACAAAAAACCTGGAATATTCAGGTAATGATAGCTATTTTGCCTATCCTCAATTGCAGGAGATGTACTTGAGAGTAGCTTAGTGAAGATTATAGTTCAAAAGAGTGTAGTTTGTCTCTGTGTTATGAAATCTAGAGCAGTGATCAGCCTATTTGTAAAGATCTACTTTAATCATTTTGTCAAAGAAAATTTTTAAAAAAAATAAGTGTCTGTTTTTTGTAGGATTTTCATAGAAGACCTGGGATACAGAATCAGGAGCTGTCCCTCTCCAAGTCTTCACTGTCTACACGGCTGTTGTCACCTCCTCACTACTGTCGCCAAATGTAAGAAACATTGAAGTGACTCTGATTGACCTTTGGCCATTTGTCTTAATTTACATGTTGTTGAGGTCTTTTGTGAAATAAGAAATATTGATTTGATTTGTAGGTAAATCAAAACCAACAGGACTGAAGGAATGTCTGACAGCCATAGAAACACATGTAAAACTCCTAGATCCACCACAGGAAGATGATAAACGGTAAGTCTGACGTATGAAATTATAAATCCTGGATAGAAACACATGTAAAACTCCTAGATCCACCACAGGAAGATGATAAACGGTAAGTCTGACATGTAGTAACATACAGATCCAGCATAGAAAATTACTTATGTGGAAATCTTGCAGCTGTTGATGAATCATGATAAAACATTCCAAAATGCATCAGATACAGGTTATGTAAGAAAACAGGAGACATTACTATACATGTATAAGTACCATTTATAAACTTTACTAATATGCTGGGTTTTTTTTTTTTTGTTTTTCACCATATTCTACATGAATATGCAAAGGATAAGGAGCATTTTTAAGTTAAAAAGAATGTGAAAATTTTTATGTATAATGGAGCAATTAAAGTCACTTGGTCCATCTTTTTTTATTAAAGAAAAATGCATATCTGTTTTGTTGTGAAAAATAGTTCTCCATAGAAGGGTTTTTGCAGAGTCAGTTTTTAATCAGAGATGTTAATAAATTGAATTTTAAAATATAGTTTTTAGCTCACCTGAGCCGAAGGCTCAAGTGAGCTTTTCTGATCACTTTTTGTCTGGCGTCCATCTGTCTGTCTAGCTGTCTGTCCGTCTGTCTGTCTGTAAGCTGTTAACATTTTCAACTTCTTCTCAAGAACCACTGGGCCAATTTCAACCAAACTTGCCACAAAGTATCCTTGTGTGAAGGGGATTCAAGTTTGTTCAAATGAAGGGCCACGCCCTCTTTCAAGGGGAGATAATAAAGAATTAGTGAAAAAATTAATAGCATCTTTTAAAAATCTTCTCAAGAACCACAGGGCCAGGAAAGATGAAACACATGTGGAAGCATCCTCAGGTAGTGTAGATTCAAGTTTGTTCAAATCATGACCTCCTGGGATAGGGCGGGGCCACAATGGAGGATCAAAGTTTTACATAGAAATATATAGGAAAAATCTTTAAAAATGTTCTTCTCAAGAACAGCAAAACCATGATGAGTCATATTATATGGAAGCATCCTCAGGTAATGTAGATTCAAGTTTGTTCAAATTATGACCCCCTGGGGGTAGGTTGGGCCCACAATTGAGGATCAAATTTCACAAAGAAATATATAGGAAAAACCTTTAAAAATCTTCTTCTCAAGATCAGCAAAGCCATGATGAGTCATATATATATATATGGAAGCATCCTTAGGTAGTGTAGATTCAAGTTTGTTCAAATCATGACCCCCTGGGGTAGGGCGGGCCCACAATGGAGGATCAAAGTTTTACAAAGAAATATATAGGAAAAATCTTTAAAAATCCTCTTCTCAAGAACAGCAAAGCCATGATGAGTCATATTTATATGGAAGCATCCTCAGGTAGTGTAGATTCAAGTTTGTTCAAATCATGACCCCAGGGGGTAGGGTGGGCCCAATGGGGGATCGAAAGTTTTACATAAGAACATATAGAAAAAATATTTCTTCTCAAGAGCAGAAAAGCTATGTTTAGTCCTATTGATATGGAAGCATCCTCAGGTTGCCTAGATTCAAGTTTGTTCAAATCATGACCCCTGGGATAGGGAGGAGCCACAATTGGGGATCAAATTTTTACAAAGGAATATATGGGAAAATTTTTTTTAAAATCTTCTCAAGCACAACAAAGCCATTTGTTATATTGACATGGAAGCATCATCAGGTAGTTTAAAATTCAAGCCCCCCCCCCCCCCCCGGAATCTTTTTAATACTGAACTGATTTGTGCTTTTGCCAAGCCAATGTGCTCAGGTGAGCAATGTGGCCCCAGGGTTTGACACTAACATTTTTAGGCTTTAGTCTGGCCGGACTAGTGCTTCACTTTTACTAGTCCGCATGCGACTTTATGAGTCCGTCAAAAAAACATCAATGTTTTGTTAAGGTTAATTTAAAATAAATATTGCAGTGTACTTCATATACTTTTATGAAATAAATAAAGCATTTACCTGAAGTGTTTGATTAAAAGATTTGTTGAAATCTCGCGATCAGGAAATACGATCATATTCCCGATCTTGTTCGTTTTTCTCTATACATTACATCCAAATGTCCGACATTTTTCTTTATGTATCATACCAAATCATAGCCGCTAAAATGTTAATTTCATACCAATCAGTCCTAAAATTAAGTGCCAAATTGACTAGGAATTACCTAACATCTCACCAAAAAGCTAGAAATACATGCGGGGTTTTCCAGTGAAAGTAATTGGTAATTTATTGATTATTTTTTTCCAGAAATTTTTATTGGTCCGTTCGGACTAGTTAGCCACAGATTTTATTAGTCCGAATAAAAATGTATTAGTCTGAGACTAACGGACTAATGTTAATGTCGAACCCTGGGCCCATTGACCTCTTGTTTTCACAAAAATAAGGAGAATGCAAAACTTGTGCATATGCAATGGCTTTTGTAAACAAATTACCCTATGGAATCAAACACATGATAGTCCATTATCTTTGGGTGTTGATAAAAACCCAACTGGGAAATGTATAAAAGGAGCATATGCATATAGGAATGCTTGTGGCAATTAGCTGGGTTTGAATTGCAATTCAGAGCGATACGATACTTCATTTCACGTATTTCTCTCCTTGAGGTTTGTTTATTTTGTTTGTTTTTTTAAGTCACTTGGTCTCTCTCATTTAAATATTCATCTCATGTTTGTTTTGTCAGCATGGTATTCTTGTAAATATTGTTGTTTACAGAAGAAAAAAAAACAGTTGTATGATGTACTTTTATACATATTTTATGTATACATGCACATTTATTGGGAAAAAAATGCGTCTCAATCAGACCAAGCGACATTAAATGCTCTTTTCATTGACACATTTGTAAAATTTTATGAGGATGTTTTTTATCTTCAGGATTGTTCAGGAAAACCTCACAGAGAAGCTGGAGGAATGCCGAAAGATTCTGGGATAAGTGATGTGGAAATTGACAGACTGCATTATATGTGTCAAATACAGTTAACTCTGAAATTAAGGAAAGAAGTTTTTTAAATAAAAGCTTTACAAAAGATTGACATTTTTTCCAGGATTAAAATATCTGGTAAACACAATCACTAAATCGCTTATATCAAGGTAATTTACATGTATTAATAAATACTTTAGTAAACCCAAGAGTGAAGATGCAAATAGGTCAAACATTAAAATATTCTTATGTTATAAAGTACCAAGGGAAGTTTTACTTCAGAAAAACTATTTTAAGGAATGTTTTTTAAATTTTTTTTTGTTTTGAGATTTGTCTCACAGGCATATTTCATGAAGCTCACTAGCCTGTAATGAAAAATATGCCTACGTGCTTGTCTGTGATTTACACACCAATACCACACACAGAATTAAAAAAAAAAAAAAAACAACTATCTTTACGTTTTTAAAAGTAGCAAATACATTAAGTTTTGAATTTAACACTGCTTTTTTTTTCGAGATTTTTAACAAGTTTGAGATTTTTGGCTAAGAAAAAGAAGTAAATCACTGCTTTATAATGCATGTAAAATTCTTACTGATTATGAAATATTTTTTTGATTTTTTAACAATAATTAATCATAAACACTACCACATGTGCCTTATTTCACCAGGAGAAAAGTTGAAGGACAAATAAGTATTACATTTGTAGTAAACAGAAATCAGTTGTTTACTTACATTGTGAAAATACATCCTAATAAAGTTTTCAATTACTTTATCTTCATCTAATATAATGATAAGAATACTTTAATCTATTTCAAATTGTGTTATTTACTGTAAATTCCATTTTACCCCAAAGGGCAGATTACTCTAACTGCATAAAACTACAATAGAATTAGCACTCTTTAGAGAGCAGTGTTTAGAGCTTACTTAAGATCTGGAACTCAGTGTGATAATTTACGCAAAAGTGGAGGAGAGTTTCAAGAAGTCTAGATAGGACACCCAAATAATAAAAAATCAACTTGAATAATCACATATGGGTGAATTAAAAAAAAATGACCATCAAACTGAATTTTTTGGGCAAAATTCAACTACTTATAACATATTTTTCACTTATATCATCATATTGCACATGCATTCTAGTTTAAAATCCTGAAGTGGACATAGAATAGACAATTGGATTAAAAAGTTTCAGAATTTTTATTAGTAAAATTTCTTTTGAAAAAAGAAAACATCATTACACCTTGAAAGACTTTCTAAAATACATAATCACAAGAAATTATAGTTTTTTAGCTCTACTGGTCAGAGACCAGAAGAGCTTATGCGATAGTAAGGTGTCCGTCGTCCGTCCGTCTGTCTGTCTGTCTGTCTGTCTGTCTGTCTGTCTGTCCGTCTGTCTGTAAACAATTTTTCAAAACGCTACTCCTCCTACAGTTTTGGTCCGATTTCAATATAACTTGGCACACAAGTAGACTACACTAAGATACATAATTTAGTGCATCGGTTTTTGATTTCGATGGACGGTGTTGCCATGGTTACTAAAAATAGAAATTTCTGTGAAATTCCTTTAAAACGCTACTCCTCCTACAGTTTTGGTCCGATTTCAGTATAACTTGGCACACAAGTAGACTACACTAAGATACATAATTTAGTGCATCGGTTTTTGATTTCGATGGACGGTGTTGCCATGGTTACTAAAAATAGAAATTTCTGTGAAATTCCTTTAAAACGCTACTCCTCCTACAGTTTTGGTCCGATTTCAGTATAACTTGGCACACAAGTAGACTACACTAAGATACATAATTTAGTGCATCGGTTTTTGATTTCGATGGACGGTGTTGCCATGGTTACTAAAAATAGAAATTTCTGTGAAATTCCTTTAAAACGCTACTCCTCCTACAGTTTTGGTCTGATTTTAATATAACTTGGCACACAAGTAGACTACACTAAGATACATAATATAGTGCATCGGTTTTTGATTTCAATGGACGGTGTTGCCATGGTTACTAAAAATAGAAATTTCTGTGAAATTCCTTTAAAACGCTACTCCTCCTACAGTTTTGGTCCGATTTCAGTATAACTTGGCACACAAGTAGACTACACTAAGATACATAATTTAGTGCATCGGTTTTTGATTTCGATGGACGGTGTTGCCATGGTTACTAAAAATAGAAATTTCTGTGAAATTCCTTTAAAACACTACTCCTGCTACAGTTTTAGTCTGCTTCTAATATAATTAGGCATACAAGAAGACTATACTAAGATACATAATTTATTGCATTGGTTTTTGAATTCGATGAACAGTGTTGCCATGGTTACTTAAAATAGAAATTTCTGTGAAATTCCTTTAAAACGTTACTCCTCCTACAATTTTGGTCTGATTTCAATCTAATTTGGCACACAGTTAGAATACACTACGATACATAATATGTATTTCTGTTTTTTTTTATTTGGGTGAGTGGTGTTGTCATGGTTACCGGTACTGAAAATAGAAATTTCCGTGAAATACTTTCAAAACGCTACTACTCCTAGTTTTCATTTGTCATAATGATTTCAATATAACTTGTCACAAAAGTAGACTACATTAAGATACATAATTCTATTTATTGTTGCATGTTGCAATGTTTCAAATCCAAGTGCTACTTTTCTTTTGTTATACAAACAGACCAGTAGAGCTAAAGTCTCATCAGAGACTTCTGGTTATGCTTCAAAATGGTAAAAAGGGTATAAATGATTAAATCTATACCTTGAATGAGTATCTTCTCTTGTACATGTGACAAAAAATTGGCTTTTTGATTGTTATTTTACATTATTTTTTCACTTCTGGTTTGAAAAGTTTTAATATGAAAAAAATATGAAGCAATAAAATTCCCCAAAGTTCACTTTTTTGTCCATTCAAGTCAATTCTTTAAATCTAGGCCAAAAAAGAATTGTTATATACGAGTTCTCTTACAAAAAATACTAGATTTTGAAGTGACCCTATGTTACATTATTGTGTTGCACTCCTGACATCTGATATGTATTTTATTTAACATTGTTTTAAAAATTATAACACACAATAACCCATTTTTACTTTGTAAAACAATTTGTCGTGTTGATATTTTTCATTGTTTACAGCAGGTTTTTCGTATTTTGAAGACCTTAAAACATGATTATTTGCAAAGTGTAATATATATAAATTGTATTTAAAATATATGTGAAATGATGAAAACTATTCCCTGAATTGACTGTAAATTTTCTGTAATTTGTTGATAGACATAGTGTTTTGAACATCAAATAGTATCAAGCGTTTTTTTTTCAACTTATTTCTTAGTAAAGATAGTTAAAAAGCATTGGTAATTACGAACCAGTTTTGTTGCACTCCTGACTGCAGTAAAGTTTAAAATTAAAACCATAGAACACAAAAATTCATAAAGTGTTGGCAACATCAAGTGGTAATGAAATTGTGCAATACTTATAGTCCAATACTTCATAATTAAACAGATGAAAGTATTTAAAATTCACATTTTATCTCGAATTATACCCTATTTTATGCCAAAAAAACTAGCTTAAATGTATATTTAGAAGATAAAATATATTTTAAAGCATATTTTCCTTTAGAAGACAAACACAGTAACCCACCAGAAAAATTCTACTCATCATTTTTTCTTTATTTTTATTCTTATTGGATGATTTATAATTCTAACGTATTTATTGCACTCCTGACCAAAAGCATTGGGGCCTTTAAAGTAGAATTGTGAAGTGAAAATTACATAAGAACTTGTTCTGTTGTTTCAGTGAAGTTGAGGAGGAATTACTTGAATTTAATGACAATGTTTTAGTGTGTTTATTTTTAATGTTCATTAAAAAAAATCACAAAAAAGACAAAAACACATCTGAATTGATAAAATTGAAAAAGGAAGGATTTTAATAATAAAACTGTCAATAATTTAGCATTAAATTATACAAAAAGATCATTATTAATTAATGAATACTTCTAAGCATGAATAGAAGTCTTTTCTTCACACAACTTGAATCTTTAAAAAAAAAAGTGTTGCACTCCTGATCATAGAAATATGGATCTGAAGCACAGACAGATCCTGTAATTGATAAATCTCTTTGGTAAAAATGTTCTTAGTGTCTTTATTTTCCAAAATAAAAATCAGAAAATCATATAATGATAATAGTTTTTTCATGCTTGGGAGCAAAACATCAAATGTTGCACTCCTGACATTTTTAGCTCTACTGGTCAGAGACCAGAAGAGCTTATGCGATAGTAAGGTGTCCGTCGTCCGTCCGTCTGTCTGTCTGTCTGTCTGTCTGTCTGTCTGTCCGTCTGTCTGTAAACAATTTTTTCAAAATGCTACTCCTCCTACAGTTTTGGTCTGATTTTGATATAACTTGGCACACAAGTAGACTGCACTAGGATACATAATTTAGTGCATCGGTTTTTGATTTTGATAAACGGTGTTGCCATGGTTACTAAAAATAGAATTTTCTGTGAAATTCCTTTAAAACGCTACTCCTCCTTCAGTTTTGGTCTGATTTCAATATAACTTGGCACACAAGTAGACTACACTAGGATACATAAATTAGTGCATCGGTTTTTGATTTTGATGAACGGTGTTGCCATGGTTACTAAAAATAAAATTTTCTGTGAAATTCCTTTAAAACGCTACTCCTCCTACAGTTTTGGTCTGATTTCAATATAACTTGGCACACAAGTAGACTGCACTAGGATACATAATTTAGTGCATCGGTTTTTGATTTTGATGAACGGTGTTGCCATGGTTACTAAAAATAGAATTTTCTGTGTAATTCCTTTAAAATGCTACTCCTCCTTCAGTTTTGGTCTGATTTCATTATAACTTGGCACACAAGTAGACTACACTAGGATACATAATTTAGTGCATCGGTTTCTGATTTTTTTTGGACGGTGTTGCCATGGTTACTAAAAATAGAATTTTCTGTGAAATTCCTTTAAAACGCTACTCCTCCTACAGTTTTGGTCTGATTTCAATATAACTTGGCACACGAGTAGACTGCACTAGGATACATAATTTAGTGCATCGGTTTTTGATTTTTTTGAACGGTGTTGCCATGGTTACTAAAAATAGAATTTTCTGTGTAATTCCTTTAAAATGCTACTCCTCCTTCAGTTTTGATCTGATTTCATTATAACTTGGCACACAAGTAG